GATCCCGCTCCCGCTCCCGCTCTCGCTCCCGCTCCCGCTCCCGGCTCCATCCCGGAACCCAGTGGAGGGGGCGTGGGAACACGCCTGCCCACGTGACCCGCCCCATTCATGTCCCCGCCACTTTGTGAATGGCCGCTCCGAGCGCGCGGGCAGCGCCGCCGGCTCTGATTGGTCGGTGTCGGCGGGCTCGGCCCGCCGCGCGCTCGGGGGGCGTGGTCGGATTGTGGCCGCTGTGAGGGGGGTGTGGCTTCCGTGAGGGAGCGGCGGGGCGGGACCGGGAAAAGGAACGGGAAAAGGACCGGGAAAAGGAAAAGGAGCGGGATAAAGAACGGGAACGGAAAAAGGAACCGGATAAAGAACGGGAAAAGGAACGGGAAAAGGAACGGGACCGGGAAAAGGAACGGGAACAGCACCGGGAACAGCTCCGGCAATGCGGCTGCGTCCCTGGAGCGCCGGGCCTCGCCTGCCCACAGCACGGCCGCCCCTGGCCTTTCCCCCGTTAATTAATTAATAACTATTATAATTATTAATTAGTATAAGCTTTAAACTACCTTGTTGTATAAGTTTCAAGCTATCCGTTGCACAAGCTATAAATTGGTTTGTTGTGTATGGAAGAATTTGTAATCACTTAAAAAGGGGAAGTAGGAAAAACGTGAGCTGAAAGGCTCTGCAAACACATTTTTAAATTGTTTTAATGCATTTAATGTGTTTAATGTGTTTTAATGCTAACTTTGAGTTTTGTAATAATTGAGGAAGAGGCCCTATGAAGATGTTTTTAGACAGCTTTAGGTTGTGAAATGATTGAAAGAAGCCTTGCAGAATGTGTGCTAACAGAATAAATGCTTGTTAAAAACTGTAACCAAAAATAATGCTATATTTATATTTTTATTGTTATTTTTACTATATTTTTTATACTATATTATCTCTATATTTAGAGATATTTTAAAAGAAGGATGGGAAGCTGGAGAGGCATCAGGAGATCATCTCAGACCACGTCCCCAAGGGAGCTCCAAAATCCACAACTGCTGATTAAGATCTCCAAAAACCACAACTGCTGATTAAGATCTCCAAAAGCCACAACTGCTGATTAAGATCTCCAAAAGCCACAACTGCTGATTAAGATCTCCAAAAGCCACAACTGCTGATCACCAAAATCCACGACTGCTGATTATGAAGAAAAGCAAATAGAAAATAACTGAAAATTTGAGGAAGTGCCTAGGATGGTGTAAGAGGCCACCATTGCAACCCTGAGTTTGTGCCTTGCTTGGGGTGGAGACCCACTGTGCTGCCAGGGATTGGGGGATCTCCATCCCCTCCATCCCAGGGATTGTCCCTGTGCTCCTGGGGGGATTTGAGATCTCCATCCCTCCATCCCAGGGATTGTCCCTGTGCTCCCAGGGGATTGAGATCTCCATCCCTCCATCCCAGGGATTGTCCCTGTGCTCCTGGGGCATTTGAGATCTCCATCCCCTTTATCCCAGGGATTGTCCCTGTGCTCCTGGGGGGATTTGAGATCTCCATCCCAGGGATTGTCCCTGTGTTCCCGGGGGATTGAGGGATCTCCATCCCAGGGATTGTCCCTGTGCTCCCAGGGGACTGAGATCTCCATCCCCTTTATCCCAGGGATTGTCTCTGTGCTCCCAGGGGACTGAGATCTCCATCCCAGGGATTGTCCCTATGCTCCCGGGGGATTGGGGGATCTCCATCCCTTTTTTCCCAGGGATTGTCCCTGTGCTCCTGGGGGGATTTGAGATCTCCATCCCTCCATCCCAGGGATTGTCCCTGTGCTCCTGGGGGGATTTGAGATCTCCATCCCTTTTATCCCAGGGATTGTCCCTGTACTCCCGGGGGGATTTGAGATCTCCATCCCAGGGATTGTCCCTGTGCTCCCGGGGGATTGAGGGATCTCCATCCCAGGGATTGTCCCTGTGCTCCCAGGGGACTGAGATCTCCATCCCCTTTATCCCAGGGATTGTCTCTGTGCTCCCAGGGGACTGAGATCTCCATCCCAGGGATTGTCCCTATGCTCCCGGGGGATTGGGGGATCTCCATCCCTTTTTTCCCAGGGATTGTCCCTGTGCTCCCTGGGGGATTGGGGGGATCTCCATCCCTTTTATCCCAGGGATTGTCCCTGTGCTCCCGGGGGGATTTGAGATCTCCATCCCAGGGATTGTCCCTGTGTTCCCGGGGGATTGAGGGATCTCCATCCCCTTTATCCCAGGGATTGTCCCTGTGCTCCCAGGGGATTGAGATCTCCATCCCTCCATCCCAGGGATTGTCCCTGTGCTCCCGGGGGATTGAGGGATCTCCATCCCTTTTTTCCCAGGGATTGTCCCTGTGCTCCTGGGGGATTGAGGGATCTCCATCCCAGGGATTGTCCCTGTGTTCCCGGGGGATTGAGGGATCTCCATTCCTTTTATCCCAGGGATTGTTCCTGTACTCCCGGGGGATTTGAGATCTCCATCCCTCCATCCCAGGGATGCCCGGCTCTCCTGTGGAGTTTCAGAGGAGCTGCAGCGCCTCCCTGGGAGCATCTCCGGCTCCAGCCCCTGATCAGGATCCACCCTGCGGTTTTCATCCCCGTTCCTTCCACTGCTCTGATTTGTCTCTTGGAGTCTTGGTCCTCGGAAAGCTTTTGCCGATCCCGCGGTGACACCGGCAGAGGCCACCTTTCCTCCCCGTGTCACATCTGCAGTGACAGCCGGGGAAGCGATGGGGAGAGGAGGTGAACTCCGCGGAACTGGGGAAAGTGAGGCACGAGTGGGGTGAGGAGCGACTCAGGGAGCTGGGATGGGCTGGAGAATTGCTGAGGGAGCTGGGAAGGGGCTGGAGAATTGCTGAGGGAGCTGGGAAGGGGCTGGAGAATTGCTGAGGGAGCTGGGAAGGGGCTCAGGCTGGAGCAAAGGAGGCTCAGGGGGAATTTCTGGCTCTGCACAAGTCCCTGGCAGGAGGGGACAGCCGGGGGGGATTTGGGATCTGCTCGCAGGGAACAGGGACAGGAGGAGAGGGAACGGCCTCAGGGCAGCTCAGGGTGGATATTGGGAATATTCCTCCATGGAAAGGACAGGGATGAGGTGCCCTGGGGGGTTCCAAAGCCCTGTGGAGGTGGCACCTGGGGACAGGGGCAGTGCTGGCAGTGCTGGGCATGGCTGGACTCCAGGATCTTAAAGGTCTTTCCAGCTTTAACGACTCTGAGTTTTCACCAGGCTCTCCTCATTCTTATCCCATCATGATGCTTCACTTTGGGAAGTTCTTTTATCCCCTTCTCCTTCCATTAAGTGACAAAATTGGAAATTTCACTGAGTGCCCTTGGAATGAGATGATTTTTCCGGTCCCTTCCGAGCCCAAGCATTCCATGATTCCACATTATTTAAATCAGCAGCGGTGAGGGAGGCCCCGGGGTATTGGAATATTTTATTTCTATCTGGGAAAATGAAACAACAAAAGGAAAAGCAGAACCCCTGGTTGGTTCCACACTCTGGAATTGCTGCTCTCCATCCTGTGGCATTCCCGAGCAAGGACAGCAGCAGTGCCTGGTGAGAGGAATGATGGATCTGTCTCTCCTGTGCTGGTAAAATAAATGGTAAATAAAACTAGCACTGAGAAATAAAAGAAACAATGGGATGGATTCCACTGATTCATGAGTGGAAGAAAGTTATTTACAAACAAACTGTGGGTTTGCTGGTGAATGAAATTGGACATTGAAAGATGAAAGAGACAATGGGGAAACAACATCAATTCTTAAGAATTAAAAATGAAGAGGGAGGGTTTATACATTAGAGGGGAATCTTGGGTATCAGGGAAGCCTGTGCCTCTCAAGCACCTCAGCCAGTGGGGATAGAGGGAAGGGAAATGTGGCTGGGAAATTGGGATGAAAAGGAGGCTGAGTCCTCCAAAAATGGGAGAGACCCCAGGGGATGCCCCATGGCCTCTCCCTTTATTCAAATAAATTCCAGGACTCCTCTGTTTCCTTTTTGGACATCAGCCTCTGGTGTTTGTGGATTAATTTTCCTGTCACTGGGAGCACCAGCGCTGTGTTCCCAGCACAAACTGCTGATGGGAACATCCAGCAGTTTCCAAAGGGGCTCACACGGTGACACCTTGACCTGCAGGGCTGTTCCTGTGGCACTTTGGGAGGGAGCTCCGCCGTGTCCTTGGATCCCAGAGCTCAGGGGATGCACCTGGAGGGGCCAGGATCCAGCTCAAAGGTGGGTCTGTGTCAGCAGGAGCTCCCTCCTGCCAGGGGAGATGTGTGTCAGTGTCCTCACAAAGAATTCCGTGAGGGACAGGATGGGGGAATGACTTTGGGATGGGGCTGGATGTCTGTCCCTACTGCAAACAGCGGGTTTGGGGCAGAGCCTGAGACTGCAAATGGGAATTCCTGAACTTTGGGGTTAAATTTAATCCAGGTTTGGGGCAGAGCCTGAGACTGCAAATGGGAATTCCTGAACTTTGGGGTTAAATTTAATCCAGGTTTGGGACAGAACCCTGAGACTGCAAATGGGAATTCCTGAACTTTGGAGGTAATTCAATCCAGGTTTGGGACAGAACCTGGACAGACCCTGAGATATGAAATGGAAATTCCTGAACTTTGGGGGTAATTCAATCCAGGTTTGGGACAGAACCCTGATACTGCAAATGGGAATTCCTGAACTTTGGGTTTAATTTCAAATTCTGGAACTTTGGGGTTAATTTCAATCCAGGTTTGGGGCAGAACCTGGACAGATCCTGAGACATGAAATGAGAATTTCTGAACTTTGGGGTTAATTTCAGTACAGATTTGGGACAGAAGCTGGACAGACCCTGAGACTGGGAATTCTGAGACCCCGAGCAAATGGGAGTTCTGGAACTTTGAGGGTAATTTCAATCCAGGTTTGGGACAGAACCTGGACAGATCCTGAGGCAGCAAATGGGAATTCCAGAGCATTGGGGTTAATTTCAAATTCTGGAACTTTGGGGTTAAATTCAATCCAGGTTTGGGACAGAACCCAGACAGATCCTGAGACTGGGAATTCTGAGACCCCAAGCAAATGGGAATTCTGGAACTTTGGGGTTAATTTAAAATTCTGGAACTTTGGGGTTAATTTAAAATTCTGGAACTTTGGGGTTAATTTCAATCCAGGTTTGGCACAGAGACAGACGGGGGTCTGCACAAGCTGGAGTTTCCAAGTTTTGGGGTAAAATGGCAGGTTTAAGGGGAGCAGGTGCTTCGGGCAGGCTGTGCCTTCCTGGTCCCTCAGTGTTGGGAAGGGAAAAGGACAGAGTTTGGGAATAAAAGGAATTTGGGATTAATTGGAATTTGGGATAAAAAGGGAGGCTGTGCCCTCCGAAACCTCGAGAGAGAAAACCCCCAGGCTGTGTCCCTTTATCCCAATGAAGGACTCCTCTGCCTCCTGTTATAGATACATTTTATATTGTTGGCTTTTCACAAATATTAAAATGAATTTTATGTGTATAAGAATGGGAAATTTTGTTGTATTAACACAGTTTCCTTTATTTCTGTTAGAAATAGTGGTATAATACAGATATGTTAAGGTATTACATAGCATTAAAACAAAAACTACTTTTGTCTGTATAACCAAGATAAAAAAAAGATGAAAAAGATGAAAAAGATGAAAAAGATGAAAAAGATAGCTGGAGACCCTTTTTTTTCTTTTGTAAACTCTCTTATCCAGATGAAGATAGCAGTGCCCAGAACGCTGGGGGAGGAATTTATTGCATTTCTGGTATCAGAGAACATAAATCTCGATGGTGCCAAGAGGATTGATCTATTGGGAAGGGGACAGGAGAAAACTGAACAGAAGAACCCCAAAGATCCTGAGAAGAATGTCTGAATATGTGTGAGAATTTATGGATATGTGTGAGAATTTATGGATAAGTGTGAGAATTTCTGGATATGGAGCAGGGTTCTGTTTTTAAGGGACAATCCTTTAGTGAGGTGAATGCAGAGACACCCGGCTGTATCTGTATACTTTACTTTATTTTTTTCTCCTAATTGTTTTTTTATTAAACTTTTAAATTCTATAAAAATGAGGTGAACCTCGTTTTTCTCAGGGCTGTGTCCCCTGAGGAGGTGTCCGAGCCGTGGGGCTCTGTTCTCTCCCGGGGGTCTGCACCCTCCGCGGGTACCCCCCCACCCAACCTCGGCTCCCTCGGTCCCGGGGCCGCCCTGCTCCGTCCCTCCCTCCCTGGGCGGAGCGGCCGTGCAGGCCTGGCCCCTCCCGCACTACATCTCCCATGGTTCCCCGCGGCCCGGCCCCTATCCCCGCACTACATCTCCCATGGTTCCTCGCGGCTCTGCCCTATTCCGCACTACATCTCCCATGGTG